CTGGTGCAAATTACTGACCTCTGTCATCATTTTAAGTGGGGGAACTTGCACAATCGGTGGCTGACTAAATACTTTTTTGCCCCACTGTATTTGGCTCGTCCATGTGGGCAGCTGCAAATTTCTATGTAAAACTTGCTTCACTGTGGACAGCGATCCTGGTTTTCCACCAGTTTCCAGTTAATGGTAGGCTTGAGCCTGCTGTTCATGAACATACTAACCAGTTTTCAGTCATTTGAGGGTACATATTGAAAAAGGTGTGGGAGCAGTGCTTTATGTTTGGATGGTTCATGAGTCCTTTCTCCCTTGACATTTGTAGGTGTCTTATGAAGATGTGGAGAGACTCCGACATCTGGCAGTGCTCTCCAAAACTAGAATCCCGCATTTCATGCGAGACCAGGAGCGGTACCTGCAACATCTGGACCACATCATCAACATCAATGGGCTCGAGGATTCAACTCTGGAGCACCTTCTACCGTGACCATCCCACCCAAAGAGAAGAGGAACTGGAGGATCTTCAGACTCTACCATGTGGTGACCCAATTCTTGCTTAAGAGATCCAGTATTACTGATGCTTTATTGGAGCAATTTTGTTTTCTTAAAACTTGAATGACATGAACAAAAGGGACATACACACTAACACCTCTATCTACATTTCACCTGTGTCCAATGCATGTTTGTGTGGCTTTTCCACAGAGCCAAGTACAGTTTCTGTGCGCCGTCGCCTTTACTGCTATTATGAAATTACCTCAGTACTAAAACTTTATGATGTAATCAACTTTATAAATGTAAACTCACTCATAATCACAGAAATGTTCACAATCACATGCTTTATTTATGCAATTATTTAAGTTTTTCTTTTTTTTACTTTGAGAAAACAGACTGAATGTTTCTGGTATTAGCTTTATACGTTCTTTTTTTAGACTGCGTTGTTTTTATGCCTTTGATTATTTGCATTTTAAAAAGAAGACACCAAGGACACATTTCAAAACTGAGACCATGAATCTTAAAGATATCAAGTGCCAGCAGACTCAGTCTGACCTTCCACCAGGGATAATTAAAATATCAGTGTTATTAAGAAGATAATCAGCTCTTTTATCACTGTCTTAACAGTGTCCTTGGTGGTCTTTGATTATCAGTATGCTACTGTGATGTGTGCCTGAGACCCTGACCCCAACTCCACCCCACTGCGCAACAACCAAATTTTCCTTTGAAATGTCAGAGGAATGGTTGGACATTTTGGGTTGCTTACGTTTATTGGATAACTTGCAGAGTTGCTTGTGTTAAAGAAGGCAAATAAGGGTTTGCTTACCCTGAGCTGAGTCTGTCTAAAAATACTGTATTTCATTATTTGGCACATCAGCCTCGTCAGTCTGGTTTTTGCTATGTGCTAAAATTACAGTCTTTTCTAAACAAACAGTAAAAACGTCCTGGCCGGAAAAATGAAGTCACTGCAGAACTTGTGACAATAGGTCTCTGTTTTGACCTCTGCAAACACTTTGCTGCTGAGTTGATGGGCTCAGTCACTCGTTCGGGGTCATAAATGCAAACTAATTAGGTCTGTAAATCTTGGTCATACCATAAAAATCCATAAAATCTATATCAAGTGAGTCATGACAACAAAGTCCCTGATATTTCAGTTGAGCTTTGCAATGCTGCTTAATACCTTAATGACTCATAGTTAGTCCTGTGGCCAGGAATCACAGTCTTTATTCCCGTTGTAGCAGTGAAACTGAAGCTCAGTTCTCTCGGTACAAACAAAGAGTCACACAAAAAATTACATTTAAGTTACAGTTCCAGCCAGGCTAAACGTTCCCCGATTAGTGTGTCGCTGTTGGTGGCCTTTAGCTGTGGCTTTATATTTAACTGAGTCTTTTCTGTGATGGAATCAGTCTCTTATGACTCTGCAAGAGAGCAAATGTAGGTATTTCCCCTAAAAGTCTGTCTTTATTGGAAAATGTGCTGAAGTAACCTTTTTAATACTGTGTTGGGCTTTTTGAGACCGTTTCATCCAGACTGAGTCTCTTGTTAAGGAGGAAACAGGGGTGTAGTGGGTGTGCCTTAAATGGGTGTAGCGCTCATCTGCTGTAGCTAGCCATGTGTTTTGTAAGCTGCTTTTATTGTGTTTGACACTTCAAACTTTAGATGCGAGTCATTTTGGGCCAAGCTGTCAGTCAGCACAGAGAAACCAGAAGAACCAGGTCACAGCAGCATCACGACACTAGCCTTGAGTTTTTAACTTGAAGATGAAAAGACCGGGCCAACATGTGAACTCTACGAACACGGTGCATTTTAAACACTTGGATTTGAAGATCAACATGTAACCCAATTATATTCTGCTGTGTTTAAGTTTTTAGCCACGTGATAAGCTGATATTTAAGATCTGACCTTAACGGCAGCCTGGTTTCACCTAAACGAATGCACCGATTTATAAATGCACGAATGTTGCAGAAGTGTTATTTTGTGGAAAACAACTTGAATTTCCAGTTTATTTATTAAAATGTACATACACTGTTTCTGGTCTGTTTCATGTTGCACATCACTCACCAGGACAAACCAAACTCTAATCAGGATTTTTAATTTTTAATTCAATTCAATTTCTTTATTGTCCCACTAGGGGAAATTAGTTTAGCAGCAGGATATAAATAAACAGAACAATACTATAAAATAATAATGACAATAATAGTGATAGAAAGTCCAAGGACAGTTATTTGCCATTGAGGAGACAAGCCCTGAAATTTTGCTAGCAGTTTTTAGCAGAAGTCCCAACCGATTCTTATTCTTCACCGTCAGGTTACCAAACCAGGCAGCGATACAAAAGGACATCACAGATTCGATAAAACTTCTATAAAACAAGGACAACATCTCAGATGAGACATTAAAAGATCTCATTTTCCTTAAAAAGAACAGTCTTTGTTGAACTTTTTTAGTAGTGGCATCAGCATGAGATTCAAAACACAGTTTATGGTCAAGTACCACACCTAGATATTTATAACTCTCAACTATCCCAATATCGGCAGTTTTAATGATAGTAGGTGATGAGCTATAAGAGGACTTCCTAAAATCAATAATCATGTCTTTAGTTTTTGACACATTAAGTGAAAGGAAGGACTCATCACACCAATTCACAAAATCATCTACAACCTGTCCATGGCCTGACTCGCCCCCACAAGAAGACTGACGATTACTGTGTCGTCACCAAACTTCAGGATGTGTCTGTTCGTGAAATTGCTGCAACACTCACTCGTGTACAGAATGAACAGAAGGGCAGAGAGGCAGCATGCTGGGGTGATGCAGTAGAGGAGGAGAGCACATCAGAAAACACATGATTCACCATCACGCATTGTGACCTATTAGTCAGAAAGTCTGTCACCCAGCCGACCAGACTAGTGTCAAGCTTGAAATGATTGTAAAGCCTGTCAGCAAGTAAGAAGGGTTGAATTGTATTGAATGCCGATGAAAAGTCAGCAAATAATAATCTTGCATGGGTGTGGGGGGCCTCAAGATGCTTATACAAGAGATGCAGGAGTGTGACAGCAGCATCCTCCACACCTCTCCCTGCTCTACAGGCGAACTGGAAGGGGTCAAGATGGTGTTCAACATACATTAAAATCTCCTTCTTAATTATCTTCTCAAATGACTTCATCACTAAAGAAGTCAGAGCCACAGGCCTAAAATCATTCAGTGCCTTAGGAGAACTGCCCTTAGCAACAGGAACAATGACAGCATGTTTCCAAATCTTAGGTACTGTCTGTAGCTCTAAAGAAAGTGAGAAGATATGGTGAAAAATCCCACTCAGCTGATCAGCACAAGTTCTCAGTACCTGTCCAGTTGTCAGGTCCAGGACTCTTACTTTTAGTGTGTCTAAAGAGATTAGCTACCCCCTCTCTTCAATACAAATTGATGGGGGAGTGATAGTCCTTTCCCTCAGTGTGCTGGTCTGCCTAGAACAGTCAAAGTTCTCAAAACGAAGGTTAAAAACTGTTAAGACTGTCTGCCAGATGTTTGTCAGAGGTAAACCCCTCTAAAGTAATATTACTTTTACCTTTCGTCTGTAGCCCTGCCATTGTTTTCATACCAAGCCAAGCTCTTTGGAGGTTGTTACTGCTGAGTTCTGCCTCAATCTTATTTCTATACCTCATCTTGGCAATCTTTATTGCAGCCCTCACCTCCTTCCTCAATATTCTCATAGTGGGAACGTCTCCCTCGTTAAAAGCAATTTCCCTTTTAAGAATCAGATCCTTAATATCTTTAGAGAGCCACGGTTTGTTATTAGGGAAAGTCTTAAATTCTCTGACTGGAACCACAGAGTCTTTGCAAAATGAGATGTAGCTACACACCACATCAGTGAGTTCATCCAAATCAGAAGTGCTCTCTTGAAACAAGGACCAGTCAGTGCAATCAAAACACCCCTGAAGGGCAACACAACTGTCTTTTGTCCAGACATTAGTCCGCTTCACACAGGCCTTCTCCCTCCTAATCACAGATCTGTAAGCAGGGAGGAGATGAATAACATTGTGATCCGAAGAACCTAGCGCAGGTCCGGCCACAGACTTATATGCCCCCTTAATTGGTCCATAACACAAATCCAGCGTTTTGTTATGCCTTGTAGGACAAGTGACATATTGAAAGAAATTGTTCAGTGATTTCTTAAGATTACAATTGTTAAAATCACCAAGAATAAAATTCGGTGAGAGTCTGCAGATTGTGTACCACTTTAAAAATGGCATCGGCAGCAAATTTAACGTCAGCTTTAGGATGAATGTAAACAACAGTGACAAAAATTTGAGGGAACTCCCTCGGTAAGTAAAACGACCTGACAGATACTGAAAGTCGGGAAGAAACAACCGCTCCCGCACAGTAACGTTATTACACCAGCCCTGGTTGATATACAAACATAGCCCTCCTCCGTGGGATTTGCGTGTTACTCCACAGTTCCAATCCAATCTGACAGGGGTCCCAAAGCTGCTGATTTGCAGGGAAGTCAGCCACGTCTTGGTAAGCGCCATCAGACAAGCCTCCCTGTATTCCCGTAGATGAAGCACATTTCCTTGTAATTCATCCGTTTTGTTTCTAAGAGATTGGACATTGGCCAGAATCATAGAGAGCAGAGGAACGAAGAGGAAGAATCGTGACTAACTTTTTAGTTAGTCAAGATTAGTCTTAGCGTTTCTTATAAACAGCTATTTTATTTGTCACGTCAGGACTCTGTGCAGTCCTGTGAGAAACAAAAATAAGGTACAGTAGCCTCCAAGGACTGAGTTAGTTACTGGCTACTGGGGCTGTTCGATATAACGATATATATCGGATGATATAAAAACGTCTATCGTTTCATTTTATGCTATCGTTTGTTTCGTGGTGTCATAAAATAAACTGTTTACAGCAATATTTTTTCATGGTTTTGATGGTCACTGTACTGGCTATATTAATTTATTAAAGTTCTCTCTTTCTCTTATATTTAATATAAACACACTATGGACGACAAGCGCTAGTCATTGTTGCGTTAGCGTGGCTCTGCTGTCCGCTTGTTTGTTTTCCATGTAAACCTTTCACAATAAAGCTCAAGATCCTGTTGACTTTTCAAAATAAACAATCAAGTGAAAGAGTATGCAGAGAGTTTACGGATGAGAAGAAAAAAAAGAGCCGTCAGGTGCTAAAAAATAAACCTTAGACTCAGAATTTGTAACGGCCACCATTTTCTTTCAACTTATGTCTAAAAATGTAGTTTCATGCATCGGTTAAAACACTAGAGTCCAGCTACACGACGCCCAGCTGGAAACACTTCACGCAAGGGGAGTTGCCCGAGATTCACAGAATTTACAGAAAATATTACATTTTGTGATTTATATCGTTGTCAGGACGATAAATGTCTTATATCGGGATATTAGATTTTTGTCATATCGCACAGCCCTACTGGCTACACTAAACTTTAGAAACCAGGTCTGAGCGATGTGGACCATAGTGTTTGAAGATAAATTTCAGTTCAGAGACAATAAAAGTCCAAAAGACACACCTTTAAATAAAAATGGTTTATTCTCTTTTAATATAGCTTTTGTTCTATCCATAGCAGAAAAGAGCCTCCACGCCACTCAGTGCTTAAAACCTGCAACTGGATCTGAAGTCGTCGCTGCAATAACCGACAAAGGTCTTCACAGCAATAACACCAGCTTGATACCCATCCAACAAGTCACTTTGCTCATTTTAAAAACAAGTGGAGATGTTGGCAGGTAGGAAGAGGAGGAGGAAGAGGAGGGTGAAGGGGTCAGATCTGATTCCAGATCTGATTTATTTGTGACTCAGACCAAGCAGCGCAGATTCCCAGGGTTTTGTTGGGAGGAGTTTATTCCGTGCGTGTTTGTTTGTGCTGCAAAATTGACATCTTGCTCCAGTATGGCTGTTGATGTGGAGGCAGAGGTTTCTGCCACGAAAAGGTCACAAGTTGAGGTAATAAAGATTCTTCCTGAATGGACAGAAAAACAAATACTGAAAACTCATCCTGTAATCACAGAGTGTGAGCAAGCAGAACACAAGCAAAAGGATACCATTTGATATTCATAACAGGCCGGCTTTGTCTGTTGCAGCAAATATTTCATACGGAGCCTGTCTACAAATGCTGATGCACAACTGCTGCTTTTTATTTTTAGGAACAATAACTTTGGCTCGTGAAGGATTTTATTTCAGGTCAGGTAGTTTGAAATCACCCTAAAATTTTCCAGTAATGTTCCGCAGTCTTTCCCGGGTCACCACAGAGTGTCTGAGTAAATAAAGAAGCTCCATTTAAGACCACCAGAGTTGTCTTAAATTTGAGACAACCAGAGTTGTCTTAAATGGAGTGCGTGAAGGTGCCGGGTGAAGAGGAAAGATAACAGTGATGGTCAACATGAGGAGCAAGAGGTGAACGAAATCATCAGATTTCAAAACAGCAGTGTAGACAGGCTGTTGGCTGCAGTTTCAGTTTACAGTGTTTGAATCTTGGTCTCAGGCCTTATGCCAGCTCACAGAGTGAACAGGCTGAAGTGCACCTTCCTCCACTGCTTCCTTTCTACTCTTCACTGCGCTCGCTGATCAAAATGTCTCTGTGGCGGGGCGTGGCCTGCGGTGCCGTGCAGAGGAGGCGGACGCACCTGCACGGCACCGCAGGCCACGCCCCGCCACAGTCTCCAAAAATAAAAAACATTAGTTGTACATCACCCCAAAGTAGTTGTTTTGTCTTTATTGATTACTGTGCTCACTGTGGTAGGAAATAAACTAAAGGAACACAAGAACATACATCGGCACCCCTGGTGATGCAACATGTTCTAACACTGCCCCCTGGTGACAACAAACTGCTACCACATGCAGAAAACAGCCTGAAGCACAAATGCACGACCACGTTACGTGCTGCTAGATGGGTCCCTTCTGAAGAAGCTCGACTTGTGCCGTTTTTGTATCGTTTTTGGTTGATATTTAACATTCACAGAAATAATATGTAAACAGACTCAGACTAAAGCATCAGCATTTGTAGGAAA